CCTGACCTAGGGAGGATTTTATTTGGGGTTTATCTTTTAACAATTTGACAGAGACACAACTTTAAAATTTGATTTAATTCGGTTTTATCGGGGGGGAATGTATTTATGTTTTGTTTTAAATATGTTGTGCGCCGCCCTGAGTCCCGCTGGGAGAAGGGCGGCATATAAATTAAATTTATTATTATTATTATTATTATATAACAGTTTCCTATTTTGTAACTGGCAGCTATAGAATATTTTTCAGGACCTACTTTCTTGAAATTTGGCATGCTCACCTTTAATCAGTATTATTATTTATTTGTATCCTGCCTTTATTATTTTTACAAATAGTTCAAAGCAGCAAACATATTCAACATATCTTCCTACTCCTATTTACCCCACAACAACAATCCTATGAGGTGGGTTGGGCTGAGAGAGAATGACTGGCCCAAAGTCACTCATGGCTTTGATAGCTAAGGCGGACTAGAACTCACAGCCTTAACTGCTAGACCAGAGGTAGGCAACCTCGGCTCTTTTATGACTCATGGACTTCAACTCCCAGAATTCCTGAGTCAGCTGACTATGCTGACTCAGGAATTCTGGGAGTTGAAGTCTATGAGTCATAAAAGAGCCGAGGTTGCCTACCCCTGTGCTAGACCAAGGAAATATGTTCCAAACTAAGAGTGGGCAACTCAGCACTTCATTTATGTGTATTAACCCATTTTAAAATACTATATAAAGTCTTCCACAAATCAATACTGATCTGTTCTGACTTAGTTTTTTCAAGATCAATCAATATAAAAAAAATTCTGCCACCTGCTGTGAGATCCCAACCCACCTGAAATTTAGTTGATTTTGAATGGTCCATTCTGATTTCTGAATGGACAACTGATTTTGATTAAGTTAATACAAGTGATCTTACCATTATCTATAAAAGCGGCATCCACCTTGGAGTGAATGTTATGGAAGTCAGCTGTTATTTTTCTTCCTCGCTCCATAGAGTTCTTTTCATCATCATACCTAAAAAAGAAAAAGAAAAAGGAGAAGAATGATTTAAAAATTTAAATTGCTTCAAGAATCCATATAACTTTATATTTTGGTATCACCAGCTAGCATACTGGTTAGCCCTGTATTACTTCCAGAATCAAAGGTTGCATAGCATTTGGTTTGGTGTTCAAATCTACCTTCAGCTATGGGTGGGTGTGGCCATCTCTACATCGTTCGTGTCAAGGGTGCCTATGGGGGCCTGGGCAGGTGTGGGATAGATCTGAGGGTCTCTGGCAGAAGGGGGTGGGACCAGGGCAAGTGCCAAGGCATGGTCCACTGGAGGAGCCTCACTGTTCCTCTCAGGCCATGCAGGGGGGGGCTTATGGAGCTAAGACTGAATGTGTTTCAGCATAGATGGCCACCACAAAATTGTACATTGGCTCCCGACTGGCCTGGGTCTAGGCCAAGGCAGAGGGGGCCGTTCCCTCACTGTTTCCAGGATGGCTTCGCAGGCCACATGAAACCACTTCGCGGGCCACATCTGGCCCCCAGGCCTTGTGTTTGACATGTCTGGTTTACAGTAAAGGCAAAGATTTCCCTGTCCAGTTGTTTCTTGGCCGAGGGACCCAGCATTGTCCGAAGACATTTTCCATGGTCAAGTGGCCAGCATTGCTATACCTCAAAGGTGCCTGGTAAGCTGTTACCTTCCCACCGAAGTGGTACCTATTAATCTACTCACATTTGCATGAACTGATATGTAAAATACATCAAAAATTGACCTATGCCACAGATTAGTTTTAAGGAGCATTTAAGTTATTATAGAATGTTGGTATTAGATTTATTGTATTATTTTATATTAGTTAGATTTAGTTTGCCATGTATTTATGTCCCTATATTGTTTTTACCCCTCCTTTTGGACTTTGTAGATTTTTATGTAATTTTTTGTATTTTTTATGTTTTAAATTTTTTTGTACACCACCACCACCACCACCCCTTTATGCTGGTCACTGACTGTAATAAAGGTTGATTTTATTTGATCTGATATGTATAGGAGCACAGTAAGCTGAAAGCAATATAATGTTTTGTCTAAAGACGTGTATCATAGCATGTTCCACTTTGCTAGAAGAGATTCCGTGAGGGTGGAGAATAATTAAAATTGTATGTAATTCAATAAAACAGTCAAGGCAAATATGATGCATCTATGCATTTTAGTTGCAAAGGGTTAGAAGAGATCACAGATGTAACATTTTTATCTTACCTCCAATAACGGTCACCAGAAAAGAAGTATGTTTTCTTTGAATTACTGTCATAAGCTGCAGCATCAACTTTTTTAACGGTGTGTGGGAAGCCCAGATTCTG